TATAAATGAAAAGGTGTCCTTTTATTATTTCTCCAACAAAATGCTGCACATTTCTTTGTGAAATTGAAATATGACAAATAATAAAACTAACTTGAAATGTTTAAACAAATCCTAATTCAAATAATTGAATAATATAAATAAAATAAATCTCTTCATATAAATAAACTAAGGCTTTGGCTGTGCTTTTTCCATTTAAAATCAGAGGCAACCACTGCATTTTAATCACGATCCAAACAAAGATGCTAAATACATGTTATTTAGATTGCAATTAGATTGTATCATTTCGAAATTTGAAGCAAAAACAGAATGGTTTGACTTCAGTTTTGTGAAACTATGCATAAAAAATATTTGCATGAAAATATCTGCACTCACCAGAGCTGAATGAGACGCAGATTCACTCTCTGCCAGCAGGTGGCGCTTAAAGCATTTCCTTGGTTTCCGCTCTAAACAAAGCAGCTGCACTTATGAACAATGGCTGCATTTACACTGGCACAAAAAATCCGATCTTTCGCTCACATCTGACACAGATCGGAATTTGTTATCGCACGTGGGTGCATGCGTTCGTTCTCTCTCTCTCTCTCGCTCTCTCTCTCCTTAATTCGAATTCATTTCAATAAATATCATCTTTATTTCACTAAAGAATTCTACCTCTAACGAGCTGTAGATAAAATAGTCTTAACAGATTAAAATTACCGTTATTTTCAGGTCTTTATCCGTTCAGTCAGATGTTGTGCTGCAAAATATCCATGACAGCCGTTGTCCATGCTGGCAAATAATAATGGCCATTCGACGTGAATTATATAAATAAGTCTAAAGTGAATGTAAACAGACGTGCCAAAAAATCGGATATGGTCAAAAGATCGGATCTGTGCATTAAGACTTGCAGTGTAAACACAGCCAATGATACAGTGTTTTCTTGGTTTCCGCTGTAAACAAAGCAAAGCTGCACTTACGAACTTTAATATGCAGGGCTCCAGACTGTGACCATTTTTTCTGCCTGTGCAACTAAATTTTGTGTGCAGTCGCACTGGCGTGACCACCGCGTTGGTCAACTCATAAGCGCTGCAATTTCTGTTGCATATGAGAAACATCAAAGGGCAAACGAAAGCATAACGAAACAGCGCTTAGAGAGTATACCTACTCGCTGCGCGCAGCAAAAATGACACGCATATTGAGGAAACGATGGATGGTATTCTTGTGGGGGGGGAAAAAACATGCAAGCACTGTCACCGTTAGTTTTACTTTTTGAATAATCCCATGTTGTAGCGCAAAAAAAAAAATATATATATATATATGTATATGTATTGCGACCAAATCATGTGCTCGTGCGACCGGCTGAGAAAGTTAGTTGCAAGAGAGCGACCAGTGGGAAGAATGAGTCTGGAGCCCTGATATGCATTATACAGAGGCAAGAGGAAAAGAAACCTATCTATAACTATCTTGTGTCATATATATATGGTTATTTGTATGTATGTACCAAGAGTTCCTGTAAAACTACAACAAATTCCAAATTCCAAAAGCTCGTTCTGATTCTAATAAGAAAGCACCCCTACAACAACTTCTGAAAGTGAACGGTATGCGTTTTATTCGAGCATTACATAAAAATGTCATTTTAACATTAGTGTAAATTAGGGGTGTGCGATATATATCGTCTGCGATAATATCGTAATTGCTGCACAGCCCTACACAATTCTCTGAAATGCTTACCTGGTTGTTCACTCACAGTATTCTTTGTGTAATGACACTGTGCTGAATAAATGTCAGTTGTCCCAGGCAACATATTTATGTAAAAGGTGGTGCATGACCCCTCTGATTGTATATTATGCTTGATGTAGGTCTTTTGTTTTTGAAGTAGTTCTTTATTAGCAAGATTTTAGGTTATAATTTATATGATTGTGTAAAGGGAAGTTTATATTTTCACTTGACATTGTCATTATTTTCACCAAACTTTCCCAGTTTTAATCTTATTTTTTTTTAATATTCATAATTTGAATGTACATACACTACCTGTAAAAAGATTATTTGACAGGTAGTGTATGTAAGATTTTTATTTTAAAGAAATTAATATTTTTATTCCGTGAGGATGCATTCAATTTATCAAAAGTGACGGTACATACTTTTATAATGTTACAAAAGATTATTATTTCAAATATTTTTATATATATTTGGATTTCAAATATTACATTTGAATATATCTGATTATAATCAAATATCAAATATTTTGAACTTTCTGTTCATCAAAGATTCCTAAAAAATTATGTATCATGGTTTCCACTCAAATATGAAGCGGCACAAGTGTTTTCAACATTTATAATAATCAGAAATGTTTCTTTAAGCAGCAAATCAGCATATTAGAATGATTTCTGAAGGATCATGTGACACTAAAGACTGGAGTAATGATGCTGAAAATTCAGCTTTGCGTCACAGGAATAAATTACATTTTAAAATGTATTTAAATTGAAAGCAGTTATTTGATATTGTAATAATATTTCACTATATTACTGCATTTACTCTATTTGTATTCAAATAAATGCATCCTTGATTAGCAGAAAAGACTAGGAAACATTAATAAATCATACTGACTCCAAATTTTGAATGGTATTGTGTGTAAGTATTATCATTTTGTGGGCTGGTTTTTGTTTCGTATGTTTGCAGCTACTGTGGCATCCATGATCCAGCATGTGTGGTCTATTGCAACACCAGCAAAAAATGGTTCTGCAACGGCCGCGGTAACACCTCTGGCAGGTGAGTCCACCAGTCCATTAATTTTGTTAACCAAAGCATTGTTAAAACTTAAAATGATTATTCTTGTCACATTTGTTTTCTCAGTCATATTGTGAACCACTTGGTGAGGGCCAAATGTAAGGAGGTGACGCTGCATAAGGACGGACCGCTGGGAGAGACAGTTCTGGAGTGCTATAACTGCGGCTGCCGTAATGTCTTCCTGCTCGGCTTCATCCCGGCTAAAGCCGACTCTGTTGTGGTGCTTCTGTGCAGGTGAAACATTTGAAGCATTTCATTCTGACTCACAAACTCAAATTCAGTCATTCTGGAAAAAGTTTATTTTGATTAGGTTGACCCAAATCTAATTTGATGTCTTTTAGGCATCAGTAAATAAAGGGAGATTTAGTCATTGGTTTTAGTAATAACAAAAAACTTGTAAATCTTTTCTACCTGCTGGATTTCCTCTTTATTGTTTGAGTATGACACAATCTGTATTTACAGGATTGATTTAAGGCTTTTAAACTGTTAATATTGAGCTTTTAGACTCTTTTTGCATCTGTGATGGTCCATGCTTACTCAAAATGTGAAATGGGAAAGTCCCATGTATTTTCATTTTTACATGATGTGTGAAGTGTAAGAAACCAGGTCTGTATTTTATGTACCTCGTGTGCTAGCATAATTGCTTTTAATGTATTTATGATTGCATATTTATAGATAAAGGTGTAAATGTTTTATGTCATTTTTATAAATATTTTATTTACCTAAAATATATTAAATATTCTTAAATCATTGTAATAAATAGTTTGTATTAATAAATGCATAAATTAAATCAATGCATACAAACATGATTTTTTTTTTCTTCTGGAGTTTACCTCTCATGTTGACTGAATGAATTTTATTTTATATTTAATTCGAGCAGTCTAGGTGTACAAACATATACCATATTTCAATTTACATATAGTACTAACTCAATGCAATCATAAAGTACCTTTTGCAATATGAACACAAGAACAATTGCCTTGTTTTTTTTTTCTTTTACAAATAAAGGTAAACAAAAATATATACACAAATTAATAATAATCATAATAAAATATTAAATATGACATTAAATAGTATATAAAATGTATATATTAAATAAAATATTAGATAGACAAAATAAAATAAAGGTAGAAATAGTAACTCTGTACATCCAGGGAGAGAATGTGTGACCTAATTAAATTCCATTCAAAATAAACTGAAACGACTTTCATTAAAGTCATTATTCTATATATTAATCTGCTCTTAAATTATGTGTAGCAACAAAATCAGTCCATCTTTTTGATACAAATGCAACCCATTTCCTCCATTTTTCCAGGAGACTGGATAATTTTTAAAAATGTTTATTTTTTTACTATTTTATTTGAAATGTTTAGTGAAAATTTAATCACACCACTTGAAGCTGTGAAACCATAACATAATTTTGGCATAATTTTATCTGGTGCTGGTTTTATCAGAAGCTGTCAACCATTGCTTATCAAGCGTGTGCACTGCCTCTGTCTCATGGGTGTGTGTGTGTGTGTGTGTGTGTGTGTGTGTGTGTGTGTGTGTGTGTGTGTGTGTGTTTGTTTGTGTGTTTAGGCAATAAAATAAAAGTATTTTATATATTAATCTCCTTCTATTTACATACATATTTACATGATACAAATTCAACCCATTTCCTACATTTTTCCAGGAGACAATGATTTTTAAAAATGTTTTTGTAATATTTTATTTTAAATGTTTTGTGTAAATTGAATCAAGCAGTGAAGGCACAACAGTCAATTTTTTATTTTAATCTGGTGCTGGTTTTATCAGAAGCTGTCAGCCATCGCTTATCAAGCGTGTGCACTCCCTCCGTCTCATGGGTGTGTGTTTGTGTGTTTAGGCAGCCGTGTGCCAGTCAGAGCAGTCTGAAGGACATTAATTGGGACAGCTCTCAGTGGCAGCCCCTCATCCAGGACCGCTGCTTCCTGTCCTGGCTAGTGAAGATCCCGTCTGAACAGGAGCAGCTGAGGGCCCGTCAGATCACAGCACAGCAGATCAATAAACTCGAGGAGCTCTGGAAGGTACTGTGATTTACTGCTTTCTAGGGATGCACGATATTATCGGACTGATATCGGAATCAGCCGATAATGGCTTTTAATGTAAATGTCGGCATCGGCCCGATATGAAAAATTATGCCGATATGTCTTGCCGATGAGAGCAGACCTCCTGCCAACCTGTAGGCATTTTGCGTAGCGGGTAAGCATTTTGACCTTAAAGTATGCTGGTACGATTTGTCACTCTAAACTACGCAAAAACCCGGTGACCTGTCCACGCGCAGTAAACAAGAAACAGAAAAAGATGAGGAGTTCAACCAATCAGAGCGTTTTCCGTGTTTTTTTATTTCTCTCCAAACTGGCGTCCATGTTTGGGTGTCGTGAGCTCTCTTTCTTCGGTGATGCATATGTCGACTTTCTGTGCAGGGGCGCCCTCTAGAATCCAGTATGAATGAAACAGACATTACATGTGTTCATAGCACTAAATAATGGCCAATCTATAAAAATAATACTTCTCTCAAAATAAATTTAGGGTAGACATGTGATAATCCATGTTTTTCTACAGTGTACAAACAAGAGTTTTACTTAAAGTATACTGGAGTTTGTTTTTTTTAAATAGCATTTAAAATCGCTAAAAAGAACTCTGTTGTGCCAAACCATCAGAACCAAACTGAAAACTGTTTAAAAAACTGAGGTATTTATTGAACCTTGGGCTAACTGTATTGTTGCATTCCTACTGTTTACTCTAAAATACTGTATAACAGGAATATCACAAACTGAGTGCAGACTCTTGAGTACTAAAATATTTAACATGAAGTCTAGCATTTTGTAATGTAGGAATAGGCTATATGATCCCCGGTATCACCCCCCTCCCGGTCACACTGATGGTATTCAAACTGAATACTAAAGTCTCAAATTCAAAGAGATATTCTTTATAAAAGTTAAGAGTCAACCACGCCTACCTAAAACAGCTCATTCTAACATGCCCCCACATGTGTACGTCACGATGTGGGATGATTTGCGTAACACCGCCCAAATGTTAACGCAAAGAAAGAAGGCGTAACTTTTATTCTCGCTGTAGTATTGTTGTTGCCACCGCGGCCATGTTGTGGAGATGCTGTGTTTCGTTGTGAAAGCGAAACTACTTTGTTTGGCCTTCCAAAAGAGGACGATATCTGCTTCGTCATGCCTAGAGCTGATCCGTGCTGGTGGTCCCTCTAGTATCCAGTATGAATGAAACAGACATTACATGTGTTCATAGCACTAAATAATGGCCAATCTATAAAAATAATACTTCTCTCAAAATAAATTTAGGGTAGACATGTGATAATCCATGTTTTTCTACAGTGTACAAACAAGAGTTTTACTTAAAGTATACTGGAGTTTGTTTTTTTTTTAAATAGCATTTAAAATCGCTAAAAAGAACTCTGTTGTGCCAAACCATCAGAACCAAACTGAAAACTGTGTTTAAAAAACTGAGGTATTTATTGAACCTTGGGCTAACTGTATTGTTCCATTCCTACTGTTTACTCGAAAATACTGTATAACAGGAATATCACAAACTGAGTGCAGACTCAGAGTACTAACCTATGAAAAATATTTAACATGAAGTCTAGCATTTTGCACATTGTGCAATTACGATTTTGACATTAGCCATCAAGGAGCTTCAAGTAATGTAGGATAAGGCTATATGACCCCCGGTATCACCACATATCGCCCCCGCCCCCAGTCACACTGATGGTACTCAAAAAATGTTTCAAAGGTTGGCAGGTCTGTAAGAGGAATGCGTTAACTCACATGTGCTCAGGGTGTGCTAGTGATTAGATCACCTCAGCAGTGTGGCTCATTCTTGAAGCAAATTTTTGTCTGAATGATGATTAGATTGACTGTGATTAATCTGTGAAAGCATGTACAGAATGAAGCGTTTGGTGTATGATAGAGTAAACGGTAATAGCACGTGCAGCAGCGGCAGCGGGAAATGTCACGCCCCTTACCATAGCCGCCTGCAAGCTTCAGTGTAAATATTGCGTCAATATCAAATCAATTTGAGCGCGATTTAAACCCGGATGATTGTAACCACTCTAAGTTCGTCTGCCTTGGGAAAGCTAGCGTGTCTCCGACATAGTGATAACACTCGTTGCCTTCTCTAGTGCAGCTCAACCAGGTCTCGTCCTATTCGTCGATATTTGTGATATCACAAATCCCGAAAATATGCGTTGTAGTCCAAACGAGTCGTTCGTTGTAGTTTTTGAAAAGTGATTTCTGTTAAATAAAATATCTCCTTTTGAAGTGGACTTTGAACTTTGTAACTTTGCAGATCTTTTTTATGCTCAAACAGCAACATTACAGACTAACTAAAGTTGAAAAAGTGAAAAAGCATAATAGGACCCCTTTAAATTAAAAGTCAAATAGCCTACCCAAATAACATTTAGACTGTGTTTCTGATTAAATAAAGCAGTAATTGATGTCATAAAATAATGAGTATGTTTTGATTTAAAGGTCAGAATCTATAGCTTACATGAAAAAAAAAATCAAACATGACACTTTTAATTTAATTAAATTTAATTAATTTTATATATACTGTTTTATTCATTAATGTGTAATATGTTTCATTTTTTTAACAAATCATAAGCTCTAAAAGATTTTCTGAATTTTTACAACTCTTTTTACAAATGTTAAATCTTAAAATAAAATGTCAGGGTTAACACTGCATCTTTCTGGGGGGAAAAATGCAGCGATTGATATATAGTTTATTTAGGCTATAGTTATTTTCAAAGCTTCAATGTACTGCCAAAAAACCTTCATTGTTGTTTATTTAATTCTAACAAATAAGTTCTTGTTAAAAAGTAACCAAAATTAAAAATACTTTGCTTATAATTTCTGCACAGGAGAGACTTGGTGTTGTTTCCAAACAAAAGGAAATATATCGGTATCGGGCAAAATGAGTTGAAAAATATTGGCAAAAATCCAATATCGTGCATCCTTACTGCTTTCTTATGAATACGAACGCAGTTTTGAGCATCCTGTTGTTGCATGACTGTACGTTCTGTCATGTTTGCAGGAAAACCCAACAGCGACCCTGGAAGATTTGGAGAAACCTGGAGTGGATGAGGAACCTCAGCACGTTCTGCTGCGATACGAAGATGCCTATCAGTACCAGAACATCTTTGGGCCGCTGGTCAAACTAGAGGCTGACTATGACAAGAAACTCAAAGAGTCCCAAGTATGAAAACCTTTATGCTCTTCAGTTATTCCTGTGGTTAAACTAGTGAAGATGCAATAGTACTGATATGATGGTGATGATGATTGCGTTAGTAATTATTATTATTTTTTGGTTAACTTTCTGCTTGAACTATGGAGTGCAACGGGAGCCGTTCAATTTTTCAAAAGTGAAAACTTTTCCCGTTCATTTTCTTCATTGGTAAAAAAAAATCAATAAATAGTTCAGCCCTGAACCAGACCAACCAGCTCTGAAATAAATCTCTGCATTACAACATTTGATTCAAACCAACTACAATCAAATGCATCTGGCGTAACGTCTGTTATGAGGATATGAGCTACTGTGAAATCCACAATAGTACTGCAATATAAACGTATCTCCAAGTATAAGATATAATGTATTGGAGGTTTATTACAAACTATTCAAGTACTTTCAAAGGTATAAATAGAAACTGATTCAATTATTCACAGTGCTTCATGGGATTGAGTAGTCACTGTTAGGCTAAGGTAACAGCCATGATTGTGATTGGAGGATATTTGTTAAGGATCATGGGTAGTGTTGTTCTTCACCAGGAATTTGTCATTTAAATAGGATTTCATAAAAATGAAGCTAAAATCACACTGACTTATAGCTAGTACAGAATGGATGGGATTTTAATTTCTGAACATGACTGTTGCACATTTTTGCAAGCAAAAAGTGATTTTATCATGTTGTGATTGCCATTTGAAATGTGATATCGTTTTCCTATGAGATGAAATTTCATGTCTATGTATCTAAAGGTATATTTTAAAATTATATTGTGATTCCTGTTTTATTTCAATTAATTGTTCAGCCCCATTTCTTTATTTTAATTTTAAATTCTATTGAATTAATCTAGATGCATATTCAGATGTGTTTTTGATTGATCTTTCCTATTACATGAGTTTCTTTTCTCTTAGAAAGGTTGTTTATAAGTGCAAAGTCCGAATACAGAATCAGATTTAATGTGTCAGAGACTGCGAATGTTAAAACATTTGATATTTATTCTGCTTGCTTATGTCCTGTCTTTTTAATTCAGACTCAAGACAATATAACAGTGAGGTGGGATTTGGGACTGAATAAAAAGCGGATAGCTTATTTCACTCTGCCCAAGACGGATTCAGGTGGTAATATTTACTTTCAGCATCTTCTGTGTCTACCAGTGGTTCATATCCATCCCATCCCTAACACCGTGTCCCATGCATCCCTCATCGATGTGTGCACGGACATGAGTGTGCGCGCGCGCGCGTGTGTGTGTGCATGTGTGTTTGTGGTGCTGTACTTGTGTATGTGATGGATATATAGCTCTATTATTGTTATTAGAGCATAAATCCGCAAAATGTGGTCTCTCTGACTATGTTTTCTCTGTGTGGGTGATGTTTAACAGACATGCGACTGATGCAAGGAGATGAGATCTGTCTGCGGTATAAGGGAGACATGGCTCCACTGTGGAAAGGGATTGGACACGTCATCAAAGTCCCGGACAGTATCCTTTCAGCAAAGATCAAACTCGCTGTTGTCACACAATGACAGCTATTATTTTCTCTTGATAATGTGCATAGGAATGCATTGCTTATACTTAGGATTAATGACTTGACAACAACCACCCACCCAGAACACACTAGCAACTACATAGCAACATAATTGCAACCTCTGCAGAGCAAAACTTAGACAACACACTTGCATCGTGACCATGAGTTTTGTAGGCACTCTTTATATCAGCAGAAAGTCAGTAGCGTGTTCTTACTGTGCTGTTTTGATGTACGAGTATGTAAGTGTCTTACAGGGCGCTATATTGTATGGTTGATTCCTTAACCGAGATCCTCTCAGATTATGGAGATGAAATCGCCATCGAGCTACGCAGCAGTGCTGGTGCACCTGTGGAGGTGCCGCATAACTTCCAGGTGGACTTTGTCTGGAAGTCGACATCTTTTGACCGGTTAGTCCTACTATCACTTATACACTTTCACTAGTCCATTAAACTATATATAGTCCATTAAATTATAATATATATATATATATATATTAGGGCTGGGCGATATAGCTAAAAAATGTATCAACGATATAATTTTTCATATCGTTTGGTATCGATAATTATTGACATTTTTTATAACCTTTTTTAAAACCAAGCAATAGAAAAGAATGTTTAAATGTAACCACTGTATTTTTAAATTAACCCAATTTACTGAGACAAACAACAAATATTTTTGTTTTAACAGTCAAACACACAATAAAAATTAAACAAATATCTAATTTGTAATGTTTTATATGCAGATTAAATAGGTTTTAAGGAAACTGTTGTCTTGTCTCCCGAGGCCACAGGAGGGCGCAATGAGCAAAATAATGCAGCACATTTAAATTGTAAACACAAGGAAATAAGTCTATAAATCAAATATAATTTTGTAAATTGCATAAACAATTATGAACAAAACAGCATCATGTATTTATGCATTGCTTAATCCAAAGAGCCGAAATGCCATTCACAAAGACTGCATTTCACAAATTCGTGACGTGCTTTCTAAAAGTTTAAACTGTTTTAACATTGCATGGCTTTCTATACATCTCTTCTGTGAGACGCGAGTGCAGCAGTCATATTTGTCC